CGCCCGGGGCCTGCGAGGGGGCGCCGCGGGGGCGCAGCAATCGGGGCAGGACGGGGAGCAGGGGCGACCGCGGCTGTTCAGCAGCACCAGCAGCGCCGCCGCCTCCTCCTCCACGGCACCCCTCACGGCCATCGCAGCCGCGGTACCACCCGCCGCGCCAAGGAAGCGCCGCCCCCTTCCGCTTGTGCCCCCTCGGCTCCTCGTGGGTCTGTCCTCACTCGAGAAAACGTTCCCGTAACAAAGTTTGTCAGGGACGTCGGGCGGCCCCGACGCTCTTCCTGGGAAGGGAGGAAGTGACGCCTTGCTGCGCGAGGGGGGATCGGATCTGCGGGCCGCTCCCGGCCTGCCTCTTGCTGGCCGGGCAGGGAATGGCAGGTCCTCATCCGTGCCTCTCCCGGACCGCTTTGGACGCTGGCTTGGGGCCGGAGGTTCAAACGCTGAGAATGCCCTTAGCAGCAGGACGTGCACCCCGAGGTGAAACATGCCACCCATGCCCACGAGACACAGGGTATCAGAAAGTAGTTTTCTCCCACTTTAAATTTCCTTTTGAATTTGCACTTAGCGGTGTTTGCGACCTCCGTTGGTGAATTTTTCCGACCCATTCGATGAGATTTGAAGCTATTTTTCTGATTTATATTAGAAGCTTGTCTAGTTTCCCTTGAGGCTTAGCACGTCGAGCTATGCTGTTAAAGAACAGTATTATTTCCTGCACGTAAATAAATACAATTGCAACTACATAGAACTTTCTGTGCACTGGCAATGAGTCATTGTCAGTTGCTTTTTCAACAAATTGCCTTCCCCCCTCAACAGCGACACTAATGATTTCTTTTCATATTGGAACATGACTTCAAATATAATTATAGGATATGCTGTGAAAAAGCAGTGTTCTAATGTATCTTGTGTTTTATCAAATTCCCAAGATGAATGAGACCTCTTTGAATACATGTATTAGCTCTGTGAAGCAAAGCAGGTTTCCCTCAGTAGCAACTAAGGACTGAACCTAGAAGTTTCTAATGATTTGGGAAGAATTTTGGCCGTTGGAATAATGCAAAAAGCAGTCAGCAGGTTTACAGAATAGGCTACTTTGCTTTCATTCTATGAAAGGCCAGATGAGGAGAGCTAAAAGAAAATATTTGAGTTACTGAAATATCTATGGCAAATCATATGAATGCTAACAAGAGGTCTCCATAATAATATTGGATTATTATAATATAATAATACTGGATTGGAGATTGGGTCATACACATTGCTGTACTCTCTCTCTCTCTTTTAGTTTCAACTGAGCATGGACATTGAAACAGCTTTTCTAGCATTAAATAAATTTGTGTACTTCCCTGGTCTGTTATCTTTCTAGCTACTTCTTGTATCAACGTCCATTGTTTTTTTTCCCCCCCTAAATTCTTTTCCAATTCAATTTTTTCATTCACCCTTTCTCTAGAACATCAGTTCCCAAAGTGTCGTCTGGGGACCCCTGGGGGTCCCTAAGACCCTTCCAGGGGGTCTGAAAAGTCAAATAAATATTTTAAAATTTACCAGTTTTAATTAATAATACAGTAAACATGTATAAATATAACCCACGTAAACCAAAGCTCTTTGGGGTCCTCAGTAATTTTTAAGAATGTAAAGGGGTCCTGAGACCAAATGTCTGAGAACTGCTGCTCTAGAAGATCACTTTCACTGTTTTTCCTGTTTCTATTGTCTAGTTCTAATGAAGTAGACAATACAAAGTATGTGCTATAACCACATGTGTGTAGGTGTATGGAAAAAGTGAATCTCTATTAGCTTCCATCTTATTCTCAATTTAACTTTGATGCCACATAGCACAAACTCCTCAATATCTATTATGTTATAATTTGGCAGGTTACTTACCAAGCAACACATCTATAACTTATGTTTTCACAGAAATTGGCCTTCAAATAATAGGGCTTGAGAAGATTTATTTTCTCTGAAAACTGTAATGACTCTCCTAGCAAAAACAGATCCATGCAACTATCTGGAATTTGCCATTCTTTATCTTCACAAAAAGAACAAGTATGGGCTGTCCACTCTCATCCCACCCCCAACAGCCCCCAAACCTCCAGAGCCATTCTCACAACAGCCTGCAATTGTACATATTGCAATTGTATTCATCACAGTTGTCGCAAGAAAAGCCATAGATGATCTGCACTCCTTTTGCTTGACCAATAAGGGAGTGCAAAATCAGCTTCTGGCAGTATCACCAGCACCACCTGGACCATCCTCATGGCAAGGAAAAAGAAAATAAAATCAGTCTTAATGCAAAATGCCCTGAAGCACAAAAGACATTATAGCAAAGCAGCTTGAGAAGAGCCTATGAACCAGGAGGCAGAAAATAGAAGGAGTTCTTGCTGGAAAGAAAGCTGCCCAGCTCAAAGCTTTGCAGCAATGTGTCGCAAAACAAAAATTTCCAGATGGTCACTCATGCCTTAGTCATCTTATGGCTGGATTATTGTAATGCACTCAACATGGGGCTGCCCTCGAAGAACACTCAGAAGCTACAGCTGGTCCAAATTGCAACAGTGCAGGCAGTACTGGGCAAGCCTTGGTGTGCCCATGTGACACCTGCTCTGGTTGTCAGCTTCTGGGTACAATTCAAGGTGCTGATTATCACCCATAAAGCCCTTCATGACCTAGGGCCAGGTTATCTGAGGGATCACTTATCTCCCATGGCTTCAACATGTCCAGTAAGATCAGATAGAGTCAATGCACTTTGAGTCCCTTCAATCAAACAATGCCGTCTTTCAGGACCCAGGAAGCATGCCTTCTCTGTTGCAGCTCCTGCCCTCTGGAATGATATCCCTCCTGAGATCTGGATGGGTCCTTCACTGATAACATTCCAAAAGTCTTTAAGAACTTGGCCATTCTCCCAGGCAGTGGAGTAGGGTGTTTGTGAACCCCTGTTTGTTCTGTTTTTGGAGTCCTATTTGTTATGTTAGTTCTTTTTATTATTTCTTATTTTTTAGTGTAAGCCACCCAGAATCATTTTGGAGTTGGTGGGCCTGCATTTTGTAAATAAATAAATAAGCACACATAAATTGGCTCAATTGCTGAAAGACAAGACCAGCTTGAGAATAAGGATGTGGTGTTGTTCATTGGAGCCAACCTTTCTGTGATAGAACTTTAAGCCTATCACCATCCAATTTTGCCCTCAAATTTTAAAAAGTATAGGAACTTCCTTAAAAAAAGTCAAAATTTAAACAAGACAGGTTTTATCCACTCAGAGCTGTTATGTTTGCTACCGTCATCTAATTCTATTAAAATAGTTTTTAAGAAGTTATAATAATGTGCCATTTTCAATTATAGCAAATAAGAAACATGAAAATCTGGATTTCTGAATCTCATTTTGGATTCAGACCCGTGTTTAAATAGGTAGTCTCTGACTCACTCAGAGAAGAATTGGACTATTTTCAGAACTGGAATCTGAACCAATTCTTGTGGTTATTGCACAACCCCACATAAATGTGTTTTTGTCCTTGTGGTTTGTTGTGCTGAATCTTGCGTTTTCTACCTTCAGCTGTCTAGATGCTTTCATTAGAATCCAGTAGATGGTGTTGGTGTACTGTTAACACACAATAGTATATTTTGCCACATGTTGGCAAAGCAGTTCTGTTCCTATTTCCTACCATTCTTTATGAAGAATCAGTATCACACTGGCAAACCATATTTTAATTAGTAAATGAGAAAGAAATGGATTCTCCTTGTTTCTCTAATCCTTTCATCACCTACAACTGCATATAGAAGCTTGTGTTTAATGGGAATATGCTAGACAAAAGCCCAATTCAACTGCTAAAAAGAAGAATACAACTTATCATACAAGTACTGGTGAGCAATCCTTCCTTTCTATAAAGTCACATTGTGATGTTAATGATCCAGTGCATTGTGATTGTTTTACGTGGAGAGCCTTTGAATGTATAGGGCTTAATGCACATAAAAGTCTTCCTGTGAACAGTTCTACACACAGAGTGCCTTTACTGCTGTAGAGACCATGACCTTAATGGAGAGGGGGAAGATCATTACCAAAGCAACTAAGAGGGAAGCATAGCTGGAGTCCAGACAATGAGGGTGGATTACAGAAATCTCTTGGTCTGGTCTACCTTGTAGGGCTGACAACTGCAGACCCTGCACTGCTCTCATGAAGACCCGTCTTGATTGGTGTTACTGTGTGACATTACAGAGGGGAACTTTTGGTACAGCAGGACTGTTACTAGAAGGTTAGGCAACACTCAAGTTTCCTTGGCTTGATTGATAAACTTCATGCACATTTTTTGGCTTTCTGAAAAGATTCTATCATCACAAATTTATTCAGATATTAACATATTTGAACTCAAATGCATTATATTTGAGAAAATCTATGAACTAATGCTTTTTGCTGTCTTGTCTCCTATAATTTATATATATCATAATACAATGGTGCATTTCCTGGAATGACAATCTGACCTTCATCTACCTGCATCAAACCTTTCTCTAAATGTTTCAGGGAATTTTTCTATGGATATTTAAGTTAAAGAACCCATAGGAAAAAAATGGACTAGAAACCTGCCCTCAAAAGAATGGGCAGATAAATAAAACAAACTTTACCCAGTACAGCTTATTTCTAGCAATGGTTGGGCTGTACTGAAAATCCTAAACTAAACTAAAATCTAAAATACTAAACCATAGGTCAGTTTAGCCAGTTTTCCTGGATAAGATACTTGAATTAATGCTTTAGGCCTAATTTTGAAGCAGAACCTGTCTTGGTCATTTTGTAGAGTGAGCCATGCTAGGAAAGGGATGGGAAGAATGCAGCATCTTGATTCTCATAGCTGCTTTCAATATATACATTTGGGCGGGGAGGTGGAGACAGTACATTTTTAAATTAGTTTCTGTATATTTTAAAAAAACATTTATTTCCTTGTTATTAGTCGGTAGTCAGTATCTCAACCCCTTACAACATCTGACAAAGGTGCTAATTTGTTCTGGAAGGAAGACTTTTAATGGTAGGTATTGTTAGTTGCTCTTGGGCTAAATATGTGTA